ACATGCTCAGCAGCCTCGTCTCGCAACGCTTGCAGATTTAAAACCAGAACGCACATTCTTGAATAATCCAATCATCGCTCCAGCAACCACTGTACAATGAGCTTCAAACACGCTTGTTCAGCGCTAAGCCGCAAACTCTTCCGACCCATACATGCTTTTTAAACCCTATATCTTGGGGTAGTTACATGGTCTCTGAGTATGGGCCCTTAAACGGGTACCCCGTATATACCCCTTACATACTAAACCCTAAACCCTAAACCCTAAACCCTAAACCCTAAACCCTAAACCCTAAACCCTAAACCCTAAACCCTAAACCCTAAACCCTAAACCCTACCCCTAGACAAAAATAGGTCCTGAACCCTATTCCCTCCCTCCTCTGCCTCGACTCCAAGACTTGGAAGCTGAACTCTATCTTGGGGACCAAATGAACCCCCAAAATTGGGATCATATTTCCTAGGGTTTAGGGTTTAAGGGTTTAAGGGTTTAAGGGTTTTAAGGGTTTCAGGGTTTAAGGGTTTAAGGGTTTAAGGGTTTAAGGGTTTATTGCCTATACTACTGATATACCCTATACTACTACAGCCCTTTAAGTCTGCACCATGAACCCTTTTAAGGCTCGTGAGATCCCCAAGGTACACCCTCCCTTTCACCCCGAGCGGATACTGCGCGACTCCGTCTTGCGCAAAAAATAGCTGAGGCCCTGCCACGGTCGAGTCGGAGGTGGCACCCCCCCCCCAGCTAGCTTCGTAAAGTCGTGGCCCCTCACCACCCTGTCGAGGTCTAGGGCTTAGGGTTTAGGGTTCAGGGCTTAGGGTTCGATAATGGTGGGAAGCCCCCCACAGTGCCGCTCCACACACTGAGACCCACCTGGAACCCTCTGGAAACCCTTCCTGAGATCCCCCCGAAAACCTTCCTGGGACCCTAAACCCTAAACGCTTGAAAAACCCCCCGAATCAGACTCCTAGGGCCTTACAGTTTATAATCCAGTTTACTCGAGTTCGGACGGATGTCCCGCTTTTTCCCACTGGGGTTGGCCGCTAAACCCTAAACCCTACAGCACACCCCGTTCTCCTATGGGGTCGGTGGCTTGAGCCGGAGGCTCTTGAACTTAGTTGCTGAGTTCATAAGCCCCAAAAAAGTGTCACACTTTCAGTTCTATAGGGGATTATAGTATCCCAAGAAGTGTAAAGTGTATATACTCACTCAGCTGCTAAGAAAATTTGGGCTCAGGGTGTAGAGATGTCAGATCTGTGGGTTTCGCTCCCTTCCTGTGCCTTACTTCACCCTGCACCGTGAAGAATTTTGCGGCTTAGGATTTTGATTGTCTCACGGATCCTAGTGTTAAAGCCTAAACTGCAGCTGCGGCGTCACTCTGCAGCGTCAGCAGCCTGCTCGTCTCCCACCGCTGCTGGGCTGTCCTTCGAACATTTTTCGGGATTTGGGTTTAGGGTTTAGGGTTTAAGGGTTTAAGGGTTTAAGGGTTGAATGGTTTAAGTTTTAAGGGTCTAAACCCTAAACCCTAAACCCTCAACCCTAAGCCCTAAACCCTAAACCCTAACCCTAAACCCTATACTTTACACGTCTTTAATCCCCAATCCCCAAATCCTAAACTCCAATCCCGAAAGCCCTGACCCTGAGCCCCAGCCCCAACAACGCGACGCGAGCCTGTCTTCTCCCTAAACACAATCGGGGACGGGCGTCGGAGGGCTCAATGAAGCTGAGGGGTAAGGGTCGGGCTTGGGGTTTGGGGTTTGGGGCTTGGGGCTTGGGGCTTGGGGTTTGGGGTTTGGGGTTTGGGGTCTGGGGTCTGGGGTCTGGGGTTTGGGGTTTAGGGTTGAGGGTTTAGGGTTTTAGGGTAGGGTGCAAGTATCCAGGGCTTGAGGCTGAATTTCTGTGAGTTTAATGAAAATTCCAGGCTATGGCTGAACGCGGCCTTTTCGATCGGCAGCACTGTCAAAGCTCCTCATTCTGTGATCAGTGCTCTTGAAGCACAAGATCCCATCCAGCGCGCCTGTGCCTTGTTGCTGCTCCTAGTCAGCGCCGTGGTCGATTGCGTCCCTCCAGAAGTGCCAGGGTGCTTTCTGCCGTGGGACGAACGAGCTTCCGACTTTTGTCTTCGAGGAGGCGCCGAGCGCCGTCGACGGCTTGGAGATTGTTGGGAAGGGCCATCTGGCCGAGAGCCCGCAACGCCACCTCTCGCACTTCCGCTCGTTTGTGGTTTAGCCGTTTGCAGATCTCCTGCACGACATGCTCGGCGTCCTTGCTGGCGATGATTTTGAGCGCAGCTGCCGCCGCTTCCCTTGCATCGTTCTCTCGATGCTCCAGCCTTTTGCAAACGGTGCGAACTAGATTCTCGTCGTCCTTCTGAGCAATTTCAGGCAGCCGCCGTCCCAGTTTGCCAGATTCATCAAGATGCAACCTCCAGTTGCTCCAAGTGCTATAGGTGTCTAGCACACAGCCCACCGCCTCGATGGTCCTGGGGTCTCCAGGGTGAGTAAGTTGTGCCAAGGATTCGAAGACTTCGTCGGGGAACTTCCGCAACTGCGCGTGGCAGCATGATATAGCCCGCTCATCTCCCTTGGATGCTGTCGCGCCAAGAACCTCCAGCACGGCCCGTCGAACCTTGAGGTCTGCATGTGTGGCCTGTTGGTAGACAGCGTCAGGATCCCGAGCCAACTCCTGTTCCAGCACAATCTTGGCTCCATCGTAAACAGCAGACACCCAGTCAGAATGCCGTTCTCGCGTGTGCTCGCTGCCCCATGCCGGGAGCCGAGTGTGGAGCCTCTCCACTGCATCCATTCGTTCTTGCAATGAGCCTTGGGTAAACGAATTGATATAGTCGTCCTTGTCATCGCCATGAAAACCTCCGTACGTCCACCCAGGCTCCTGTAGCCGAGTGAGCAGAGTCTCTTCCAGAACTGAAGGCTGCCCGCAGCCCCCGACGGACATACCCCGCCAGCAAATCTATGTTGTTTGTCTGCCTGCTCTCTAAGTGTCAGGATCTATTTGCATGCCTCTGTTTTGGCTGGATAATCTGAATCTGTGCCTCTATCATCCTCTATCTTCACACTTCAAGCATAGGGACGCCATATGCTGTGTGTGCGCCTTCCCAGCTGATGCTACCATGACGTCGTAGAGGCCACTGGTGAGACAACACAATGCAATTTATAATATTATTTGGTCTTTACCGTTAGGAGTTATTTTCCCTTAACATGATGACATTATTAATATGTTTATATTGTGTTCGTAATTTTAAATGATTTCATGTCTTGGTCTTTCATACGCTTTATTTTGATCTTTATTTCTTCACAACAATTATAATGTCATCATCAGGCTTCTCCATGATCTGTAAGTTAAAGACTCTAGGGGATAGGATTAGGGGGACCCTTGGGGATATAGACCCTCAGAATCAGGTCCCTGTTTAAGAGAGCCAGAAGAGGGTAAAGAAGGGATGCCCTTTGAAGGGTCCCCTTATCCTACCTAGGAGAATCCTTAATATCACGAGCCAAAAGACAAGAACTGTGGCCGCCACGAACAATCCCCAAAAGATATTGAATTTTCCTTGGGCTCTTCACTCAGCTCCCGTTCACTCACTGATTAACCCTAAACCCTAAACCCTAAACCCCAAACCCTAAACCCTAAACGCTACCATAATCTCTTTTAAGAACTGCTAGCATCAGGGGGAACATCCCAAATTGACTGCGTCTCCTTCACCAGCTCGACTTCAGCTTCGCGGGCCTGAAGCTTGCTGTCCGTCGGGTAATTCAGCGGTCGACAGTACGGTTTAGGGTTTAGGGTTTAGGGTTTGGGGTTTGGGGTTTGGGGTTTGGGGTTTAGGGTTTAGGGTTGAGGGTTGAGGGTTGAGGGTTGAGGGTTGAGGGTTTAGGGTTTAGGGTTTAGGGTTTAGGGCAATCCCTATTATGGGGGAGCATCCCAACAGTCAACTGTTCAGTGTGGGGTTTCGGGGGGGTTGCAGAGTACTTGGCCGGGTGGGACTTTATGGTTTAGGGTGTAGGGTTTCGGGTTTAGGGTTCAGGGCTCTTCTTTTGGGGGACACAAATAGACCAAACAAGGCTTCATACAGGCGTTCCCTTAGAAAAGGCTGGACGAATAGGCCGGCTGTCGAGGGTAAAAGATATTCAGTTGCAAGGCTGACCTCAACATCCGCCCAATTTTGGTGATTCACGGAAGAGTCGCTTTGGGGCACATAAAAAATTGAGGCTCAAGTTGAGCCTCTGAGGGCTTACGGCTTCGGGTTCTTGAAGAGTTTCAGGCTTGAGGCTCAAGAGGGGGTGTAGAGCAAGGGACCCAAGGCAGGCCAGGTGTAGGGCTTTAAGGGTTTATAAACCCTAAACCGAAAATCCTAAACCCTAAACCCTAACCCGAACCCCCAGGAGCCACCTGGGTGGCGCCCTCGGCGCGGAACATCGGAGCCCGGGCTTCTCGGCCGAAATCCCTGTGCGGAATGGTTTTAGGTTCCGGGGCCCACCCTAAACCCTAAACCCTAAACCCTAAACCCTGTTGACAACCCCAAACCCTAAACCCCTAAACAAAAAATAAGACTAAGGGATTGCTGACCCTGGAGACCTACACCCTGCAACTTGGGTTTCGGGGGCCCAGGGCCAAGGGTTCGTCGGGTTTAGGGTGTGGTGTAGGGTTTAGGCCCTAAACCCTAAACCCTAAACTCTAAACCCTAAACCCTAAACCCTAAACCCCAAACCCGGAACCAAGGTTTGGGGTTTAGGACCTTGGGGGGATGAGAGTTTTAAAGGTTTTTTGAGTGCTAGGGCTTCGGGATTCTCGATTGAAATAAAGGAATCAAGAGCCCCCCAAAAGGAAAGCATGCATCTTTGAGAGGCAAAAATTCCCAAAGGAGAGAACAGCTTACCAATAACTATACCATGATTTCTACAAAGATACGGAGACTCCACTAGTTTATCGGCCTTGCTGCTCAAGGGATAGGCTTATGTAGAAGTGGGTGACGGGCTTCTGAAACCACAGTTCCCTGCGCCTCTCTTCCAGATCCTCCACATCCAGTGGGCCTCAGACGGGGAGCCAAAAACAACACAACACAAAACAAAAAGAGACAGCCTTCGGCAACAGCACTTACTTCTCCCGATCACAACACGACAGCAAGACAACTTGGACTCAGCTCAGGTTGTCTAGAGTTGCTGTTGCGGACTGGAAAGTACCACTTCGTGTGGGTCTTTTTCGAGTGACGCGGGTGCGTTGTCGAGAGCCGGTGCTGCTAGTGATGATGCATCTCCCGACGGAGGGGTGGAGAGCGTGCTTCGCAGGACATCACTGCGTTCCACCCAAAGAACACAGGCTTCCAACAGCCTTTGTGGAGCCATTCCGTGCCTCCAGGGACATGACCAACTATGCCAGTGACCAACACATGTGGCCATGGCGCGGCCATGATGCAGACCTCTGCAACCCCCATCTACTGTAATTCACGTGCCAGTCAAGAAATGACTCAGGCAACAGGCAATGAAACACATCCTCTGGAACGCGGTATGTCGCGTGTGTTGGCAAGTGGAGAACGCAGTTGTAGCCAGATGCTGTCGCTGCCAGGGTGTAGTTAGCGGAGCCCGAAACCTCGAAATCCCCAAACAACTAAAGCACCGACAAGGTCCGATCCTCCTGGCTTGCCTCATGTCCACCGCGAGCATGCTTCAGAACCAAGAGCGCCAAGGGGTCTCTTCACTGCGTGCACTGGGCACTCGATGCGCCCACCAGCCACCGGACGCAGGCCGCAAAACCCCAGGGGGCCTCGCTGCTCTTGAAATCCTGGGCCATGCCCTGGGTCAGAGGGTCGATATAATAGTTGTGATGCGGGCTCCGCCCGATCTCGTCCTCGGTCACCATGTAGAACCCAGAGCCATCGGGCTGGATGCAGTGGTTGCTGCCACAGTCGTAACCTGAGCTCCCAACACACTTCACCAAAGAGCCATAGTGCCGATCGTCGCTGCCAACGGTGATCCGACGCTTCGACCTTTCCAGCACGAAGTCATGGCTCATTAAGCACTGGCCCTCGAAGAGGATGGATCCTGCAATGGACAGGGCCGCGGAAACGTTGGCATTGAAATTCCGCAACTTCAGGGCGATCTGGCCTCCCAGGCTGAAACCAAGGACAGCGACGCCCAGGGCGCAGTTGATGCCAAGGTCTGGCCGAGAGCAGAAGTGGCCTGTACTAAACTTGGAACCCTCGCAAAAATGAATTTGTAGTTTGATGCTGATTCTTAGGAATACTAGTACCCAAAAATTTGAAAAATTATCTCCAAGTACCCCTAAGTGGCGCAGACCCTCAGCCACTTGCCGGCTCCGGGCATCGAACTCGTCGCAGCCTCCCGGATAGGCCTCGTTGGCGTACTCCACGGAGAGCGCGACGAAGCCGTTTTGGGCCAGGTACCTAGCTCATGGTTGAAATAGTATGAAAAATTTAAATCTATATATTCCTTATTGGGTTTAAGTACCCTTATTAAGGATCTAAATCGATGTATTCCTTATTGGGTTTAAGTACCCTTATAACAATGTAACCTGTGACCCAACTATGACAAAGGCACCGGGCTGCCTCCGCCCCAAATGCGTCGTCGTGCGCCCGCCGGGTGCCGTGCAAGAACACCGCCAGTGGCCAGCCTTGGCCCACTTGGCGCACTTGGCCCACCTCCCTTCCTTCAGCGGAGGGTCGGTAGCCGTAGGCTCTGAAGAGCTTGCCGGCAGTGTAAGTCTCCGAGAGTTCCACCTGAGCCTCGCAAGCCCGAAGGCCAAGTTGGAGCAGCAAGGCCCGCTGCCACGCAGACGGGGCCATTTCTCCGCAAATGGCAGGGTTGGGTTGCGGTGACGGGTTCTATGGCTTCCATTAGGGTTTAGGGTTTAGGGTTTAGGGTTCCGGGGAACAGAAGCACAACCCTAAACCCTAAGCTCTAAACCCTAGTGTGCGTTGGGGCGATAGCACATGGTAGCTGTGCCGGGCTTTCTTTGGCAGCTGCTGGAACTGTGCTTGAGCCGAGCCCCGAATGTCGCGTTACCCGGCAACGCGTTAAACCCTAAACCCTAAACCCTAAACCCTAAGCCCTAAACCGTGAACCCTAAACCGTCCCTGACCGCGGCTTGAGGTCGGCGCCGTCCATGGTGTCTTGACCAAAGTAGCAAATAACGATCGCCACCTGCAAGAAGGGAGCGGGTTTAGGGTTTAGGGTTTAGGGTTTAGGGTTTAGGGTTTTAGGTTTTAGGGTTTAGGGTTTCTAGCCTGAGGGCCCCAGGGTTGGATGGGCTTCCAGGTCTGCAGAAATTACGGAAATTTGGGGTTGTTTGGCTTCCCCCCCCCTCCCCCCCTTTCTCTCCCCCTGCGGGTGACACTGGCGACTCCCGAAACTACCTGCCTGAACCCCCCACACTCTGAGTCACGCGTTTCCCCTCATTCCCTAGGCTGCTGGGTGTCCAAAGCTTCGAAACTTACGGGCCTAACCCGCAAAACCAACATCCGACGCTTCGAAAAAATTCAAGGCCCATGCTCGGGGGGGTCTTGTAAACACCCTGAAAGCATGGCTCGCGGATACCAAAACCCCAAACGCCGAAACCCTAAACCCATACTGAGACCGTCCCACAGGGGCGACCATGGGTGGGGGCTTGGGGGTTGAGCCCGAAGTAGAACCAGAAGAGGACTCCTTCAGTTGTCGGCTTTGTCTTGGTAGCCCAGGAACCATATTACGATAAGGGCGCCCTTCTGTTGGGTTGGCTAATTTGTAAGGGAACCCGTAACCAAAAAAAAGGGTAAGGGGTACCACTGGTACCAAGTTATCGTTCGGGGGTAAACCCTAAACCCTAAACCCTAAACCCTAAACCCTAAACCTTAAACCCTAAACCCTAAGCCCTAAACTGGCCCTAAACCCTAAACCCGAAACCTCAGGTTCAGGTTCCCCCCCAAGTCCTGGGCCCCCAGACACCGCTGGCCATGGCCAGGAGAGCGAGGAAGATAGATTGCGCGGAGTGCGAGCTTTCACTGCCAGGGAAGCAGGGGTGCAAGGCAACGAGGGCACCAGGATTTTAGAACTTCAGGTTGAGTTAGGGTTTAGGGTTTAGGGTTTAGGGTTTAGGGTTTAGGGTTTAGGGTTTAGGGTTTAGGGTTTAGGGTTTAGGGTTTAGGGTTTAGGGTTTAGGGTTTAGGGTTCAGGGTTTAGGGTTTAGGGTTTGGGGTTCAGGGTTCAGGGTTCAGGGTTTCGGGTTTCGGGTTTAGGGTTTAGGTTTCAGGGTTCAGGGTTTCAGGGCTCAGGGTTTAGGGTGTAGGGTTGGGGGCTTAACAACAGGGGGGGGGGGGGCGGGGCGGGGGGGTTGTAGGATGGAGGGGTCGTTCTTCGGGGGGTGTCGGGGTTCGGCGAAGACATTGACTTACCGACTTACCTGCCGGGACCTCAGACTAACACTGAAAGCCACTGCAGAACCCGCAGCCCCTAGCCTTCAACCCTTAGTACTCAGCCTCTAGCCTTCAACCCTAAGTCACCTAGTCCTCCGCCACTTAAACTCGAAGCCTTTCACACCCCTCACGCCTTGGGGGTTTAGGGCTCTTTCGGTTTTTTGGGGGGTCTGCCCCCACGGCCTCGATTGAAAGGGCTGGAGTGGAACGGCTGCTCCGTAAGTGGTCCCTGCTCGCAGGACCTGCGCTCAAGGGTCTCCGAGGCAAGAGCTGTCACACTTTCTCCCGACAAGTGCAAGCCCCGTATGAAGGAGTCCCTTGAAATGGTCCTGGCAGAGTAATAAGACACAGGCCTGAATGGAATGCTCCAGGGCCTCTAAGGCCGTGCCAACCGGAACCCGAACGCAAGGGTACAACATTAGGGCTGCTTGGGGGCAGCCCCCCCCCCCCCCCTGCCGGCCAAGGCATTCTACAAGGAGCCTCAACAACTGGGAGCACCGGATCACCCTAGCCCTGAACCTCAAACCCTAAACCCTAAACCCTAAAGCATAAACGCAAGAAGTTTGCCCTGAACCTCAAACCTTCGCATTGACCCCCGGAAGCCGCACGCTGGAGGCCCCCCTGCCTGACCGTCCTGGGCAGGAGGACCTGGGGGTGGTGGACCTGGGTTCTCTGCATCCCTGAACCCTAAGCCCTAAACCTTCCTGAGCCCTAAACCCTAAACCCTAAACCCTAAACCCTAAACCCTAAACCCCCAGCCACTCAACAGCCTGAGTTGCACTTTTGGAGAGGAAACGCCGAGGTTCTGGCCGCGGGCCGGCTGCGAAGGCTGGGCATGCACGCCCTCCTTCGCGAGCACTTGGTGCACCTCGGGTACCCAGAGGGTTTAAGATTCCGGGTTTAAGATTTAGGGTTTAGGGCTTAGGGTTGAGGGTTTAGAAATAGCCGACAGCAAAGAAGTCTTGGGTCTTCAAGTTGCTGCATCTCGCATGGTTCTGAGCTTCTTGCTTGCCTGCAGTAACTCTTCGGGGTCTATAGGGTCTAGGGCTTCGGGTTTATGGCTTTAGGAAAAGAAACGAGAGTGAACGTACCCCAGAACTAAGGCGGCACGTGTACCTTCTCTAAGGATTAACTGTGTAGGTTAATAAACCCTAAACCCTAAACCAGCCACCTCGTCGCGCTCCTCGCCTACGAAATCGTCCAGCGCGAACACGATGCGCTTCACGCCAACGAAAGTGCTCACCTCATATGGTTTTTTCGAAAATAGGGGTCCGGGGTACCCTTCTTGGGGTCCCTTTTCAGGAGATTCTATTCTATTTGGGGCATAAAAAGGGTACCCCTCTTTTGGGAAAGGCCCATATCGAGCCCCTAAACCCTACCCCTTAGGCTCCAAGAACTCTTAAGGGCTTTTGGGCCGAAAGGCCTTATGATATAAGGGTTTGGGGCTATTTTGGGCCTAAGGGTAATACTGAGGGGTGAAAGGATCCAAGGACCTTGGGGACCTCGTCTCACTTTGGGGCAGGGCAGGAACGAAGACTCCAAAACAAGGGTTCGGGTTCAGGGTTTCAGGGTTGGATTCCCAAGGTTCTGTGAGGTCGTGCTGTGCCATTTCAGGTTGATGACGTTGAGGTTGATCTCATTTCTGGGCACTTGTTGGGTCTCAACTGTATGGGTAGTTCTCTGAACGGTTTCCTTTTGGGGGGGTCCCTCTTTTATGGGTGTCGTCGTATATAGGGGGGCCCGTACTCTACTATTGTCTAGTGTTTATGTTGTAGGGTACAACCGATTTCCTGGAACCCTTGCTCAGAGAGGGAACTCTGGGAGAATAGCTATGACCCACCCTCAGCGCTGGGTTAGGAGGGAGCATACTGTACAGGCTGGAGTGCTTGAATATTAGCGTCGTTGTTGTTTTTGGAGTTTTTGTCCTTGCTCCCTTTTAAGTGCTCCTTGTGAAGCACCACTTTTACTTTTGCCTTCGAGATCGTGCTCTTGCCATGGTCCCGTGCACGCTGCTCGTAAAGTGCAGAGCTGGGGTCGCTTGGAGTCCAATCGCTGCGCTCCTGAGCGCACGCTCTTCGCCAATCGCAAAACCGTCGTGGCTCCTCATGTTTTGGGCAGATGGTCGGTGATGCTTGCAACGAGCGCGTTGTGGTCTTGCTTTGTTTGGGCCTGTGCTGGCAGCTTAGCATTCCTGCGCAAACTGCTCACCTGACATTCCCTATGGTTTATATACACAAGTATTGTCGTTTGCTGATGGTGTTGATGTTGTTTCTGTCATGTCACACCCGTCACCCCCCCCCCCCCCCCCCCCCCCCCATCTTACGAGTACCTTTCTTTGTTTTCGACCAGGGGCGTGAGCTGCCTTCCACAGAAATCCCTGACCCTAAGCCCTAAGCCCTAAGCCCCAAACCCCAAACCCCAAACCCTAAACCCTAAACCCAAACGTGCCGGCTTTCGGACCATCGTCAACCCGGTGAAGCCCTGCACCTTCAGGCCCCTGAAGCCCAAAACCCTCAAGTCCTCAAGGTTGGGATGTTCCCCCTCTTATACGAACAGGGATGTTTCCCCCTTATACTAGTAGGGTTTAGGGTTTAGGGATTAGGATTTCCTTAGTAGGGATTATAGTAACCCCCTTCTGTTAATGCCTACTAGGGACTGTTAGTATAAGGGGGAACATCCCAACCTCACGGCATGTTGCTGCAAGACCCCCCGGCTCGTGCAAAGATGGGGAGCCCACGAGATGCCAGAAGACGGCCTGCAGTTCTTTTGCAATTTCAGGGCAAATTTGGGTGAAACTCTAAACCCTAAACCCTAAACCCCTCAGCCCTGAACCCTAAGGAGCCCTGATGTATACTTGGTAACCCAGTAATCATAGTGCCCCTTTTGTTGGGGGTTGGATACTTAAAAAAAGGGAAACTTGAACCCAACAAAAAAGGGCAAACGGGTACCACTGGGTTGGCGTTCTTGGGGATCTAGGGCTGCCCTGTTTGGCACCTGCACTGGCGAGATGCATTGCACCTTCTCATGTCAGTGACAGCGTCGCTTGAGCTCGAAATCCTCCAGACCCAGTGATTGGTATGTGGGCAAGGTCAGCTTGGCCGGTAGACGGACAGTGACAGCAAACTCGCCATCTCAGCTTGGGCGCTGGTAGCTACTTGGAGGGGCGTCATGCCAGAATGATTCTGCAAGTCCATGTCAGCACCAGCGTCCATGAGCAGGACAGCAATTCGAATCAGGCCACCGAGTGATGCATGAAAAACAACTGTCCTGCCGCTAAAATACTGCCGGTCCTTGTCTGCAACATATTCCAGCAGCAAGAGCGGCATCTCGAGAGGCCTCCGCCCGTTGACGCCTTCGCTGATGGGTGTCAAAGAAGTGCTGGGAGGAGAGGTCCCTTCTCCGTGGCCATCTGGATTTTTGTGCCGGAGCTGACGCAAGTCATCGCCTCCTCCGCAGCCAGCGCAGAACCGTGCGCCGCAGCTGAGATCGGGCCTGTGGATGGAGCCCGCACAGAAGCAAGTTGCAGGACGTAGCTGCCGCGTACTTGTCCTGAAAGCTTTTCTTGGCCTTACTCACCACAGCCGTATTCTGCTCGCCGGTGGACTCTCCCTCCCCTGCCCTGGGTGCACTCTCATTCTGCCTGCTCAACTCAGCCCAAGGCCGACTTGTGCCTGAAGTTGTGCATGGCAAAATACCCCGCGGGCCAGCCGCCCACCAGCGCCGTCGCGCAGAGCGCGCTCTCGCTCACTCGCCACTTCTTCTCCTGAGCTTGGCGCTTGTCCTTACGTGGACGCTGCAGTCTCATGTCAGTAAGAAAATATGTATACATGCATGCATGTAGATACATGTATATATGTATATATGTATATATGTATATATGTATATATGTATATATGTATATATGTATATATGTATATGTATATGTATATATACATATACAGATAATAACATAATATGACACACACATATACAGATATAGATATAGATATATATCAAAGATTTGCAAACAAACAGGGTTGCTCTAAGTTCTATCCCCTCTGGGCATCTCGTCCAGGCCCCTTCGCAATCCATCTTAAAAAGACCCTTTGAACATCTGTTTTGACAAGGACTCCTGGGGTTTAGGGTTTAGGGTTTAGGGTTTAGGGCTTCCTATGAAGGCTATTGGCATGTACATGTAAGGGGATGCATATGCCAACGTCGGGGACTTCCGGCAAGAAATCTGGCGCCAGGCTTCGTACCAGAAGAGGCCAGCTGTGCCGCCGTTGATGCCGGCCACTGCGGCCAGCAGATGACCAGCAGGCGGGAGTGCCTGCATGCCCCTGACAGGCTGCCTTGCTTCCGCAGAAGCTGCGGGCACGAATGGGCTTGGTCTCCAACCCTGCTGAGCCAGCCGTGCCTACGCTGACACATGCATGCCATACTAGGGAGGGTTAAGGTACTCCAAGTTACGGCTTTAGTTGCGGGGCACGCCTTAGCACATGACACGGTATCATGCCGCACCACATGCGCCTCACGTATCTGCACAAAGGCGCAGGGGACTAACACAAAAGAAACCTTGAAGAGCTTGCCCAAGTCCCGATTGTGCGCTCATCACTGCCGTCACTGCCCAAACCTCTGAATTTTCCAGAAAACCAGCTTGCAACCTTCCAAAAGGTTCACAGGTTTCTTGCTTTCTTGGGATGGGGCACAGGAACCCCGCAAACCCAACCCACAAATGCTTGTAAACAGGCTTCTTGCCTTTAGCAAATAAGGGGAAACTAGCGAAAAAGCTTCTTGGAACGTGAAGGCCCGGAAAGGCTAAGCTCTAAACGAAACTCCTAGACCCTACAGTTATAGGGTTCGTAGGGGGACGGGGGTTCAAGGGTACGTCTCACTAAGCTTCCCTAAGGTTCCCTAGGTACCTACGAGTCCCCCCCCCCGCCCCCCCCATGAACCCCGTTACATCGTGGGCGGACGCAGGCTGAATTCTGCAAAACCCGTCGCAGCAAGCCCGCCTCAAGGTGGAATGGCATGTCCAACTCCCGCGCAGACCAACCTCCAGATTGACCGGCTGTTCCGAGGTCTTTAAGGGGTATAAAAAAGGACCCCATAGAAGGGGCCCTTAATCTTAGCCCCTAAGGGGCCCCTCCACCCCGAAACCCCTACTGGTGTTTAAAACATTATAAGCTCAACAACATGCCTAAACCCGAACCCCTAAACCGCAAAAGCCTCAACCCTAAACCCTAAACCCCAAACCCCCAAAGCCTTAAAAAGAAGCTGAGGCACCAGCGGCTTTCGGACCGTGCCTGGAGATCGTAGGCGCTCGGCTGCTCGGACAGGAGCTGTCAGAGTGAAAGGTTTTTTGGGGATTCGCTGGTGATTCTTGCTGACCCTAACCCTTAAACCCTAAACCCTAAACTTTTTTCTCCAACGCTTGACAAGCAGCTTGACTAGTGAATGCTTGGACTTGAGATTCTGAACCCTAAGCCCTAAACCCAAAACCCTAAACCCCACTCCTGTCTCACCATAGCCGAAGGAAAATGGGTACGGAGCTTACGGGGTTGACCGCAGGAGCTAGGACAGTGGCGCGGAGAACAGATTGCAGTCGAACTACAGTTCCGGGCTGAGGGCTTTAAGGGCTTTAAGGGCTTTAAGGGCTTTAAGGGCTTTAAGGGCTTTAAGGGCTTTAAGGGCTTTAAGGGCTTGGGCTTTAAGGGCTTTAAGGGGTTTAAGGGGTTTAAGGGTTTTAAGGGTTTTAAGGGTTTTAAGGGCTTTATATAAGGGCTTTACGGGTTTTAAGGGTTTTATTTTAAGGGCGTCAGGGCTTTCTCGCACCCCTGCGCACCCTCACTGGCTTGCCCAGGACGAGGTCTTCTCGCCAGCAGCGTGGGCAGTCCTCCAAGGCTTTGAGAAAACCCTGCCGCAGAGCTCAATGATCCCGAAACCCAACACAGTAGTAGAACTTCATAGCTCTGACTCTACCTCCCAGATCTTCCAAAACCCCTTAATTAAGGAGTATGCCCTAATTCATAATAATGAGCCCTGGAATAGATTAGGTATATTCCTTAAACAAGGGTTCTGGAAGATATGGGCTTAGATTCACGAGCACAAGTGCTCCAACGTGTCCGAGCTCCAGCCCATTGTGGAGAAAACAACTCCCAGGCCCTTAACCCCAACAGCGCCTGCCCTAAAGGAGACCACACCCGATGAGAGTTTAAGCCGTGGGGTCTAAACCCTAAACAAATCACCCTAAACGGTCCATGTGGTTTAGGGTTTCGGGTTTAGGGTTTGGGGTTTGGGAGGCTTTTGTTCGGCAGGCCCTGGTGCGCCCTGCACCCCCGCCATGCCGGTACATGCCTGGTACTCTGGCCACCGCCGGTCCACTGGCGAGCCGCTGTGCGAGGCCTTGCGCTTCTTGGAGCTTTCTGAGGGTCTGCTAAGTGCTTAAGAATCCCCGAAAAACTTACAAATGTTCTTCCTTATTAAGGGTAATGTGGGGATTATCATTTTTATTCTTGTGGGGCTCTAAGCAAATAGTAGGGGTTTAGAGTTTGGGGCGTCGGGATTTTTCGGGCCTGGCCCCTTGATAGCACACCGCACGCAGCTCCTGACCTCCAAACCCCCAAACCTTCTAACCCTGAACCCTAAACCTTCTAACCCTAGACCCCAAACCCCAAACCAGAGGCAGGCCCTGTTGCGGCTTCTGAAGCTTAGACGTTTAAATCTCGCTCAACAAAACCGAAGCCCCAGACCGCTCAGTAGCCCGCATAGATATCAACTGTATTCAAAAGTAGGAGGGGAAAGACATGACAAACTCCTGCAGATTGGGAATCTATGGGAAATATTGGATATCAAACAAAGTATGTGATTTCTGTTAAGGGGACACTTTTTGCAATTATCTAGCTTACCTAATTTAGGGTTTAGCCGGGGGTGCCGTAAGGGATTCTTCACCCACCGAAACCCGAAACCCGAAACCCGAAACCCGAAACCCTAAGCCCTGAGCCCTAAACCCTGAACCCTGAACCCGAAACCCGAAACCCTAAACCCTAAACCCTGAACCTTAACCCTAAACCCTAAACCCTAAACCCTAAACCCTACACCCTACAACCCAACTAAAGCGTCCGACACCTCAAGGCACCTAAGCTCGCGGCTACGTGCAAGTTCACAGCGTTGTGGACACGCCACCTGAGACGAGGGGCTTTTGGAGAGGCTTTTGGGAATTTTACGGGTTTAAGGTGGTTTTGGGCTTTGGAGGGTTTGGGGTCAACTTGAGGGGGGGGGGGGGGAATCTTGGGAATTCTTGAGGTGTTTTCCAGGTGCTGATAAGAAGGGTTCCTCAACCCAAAACCCTAAACCCTAAACCCTTTTCCCCAAAACAACGCCTGCCCTCTTGGCGTTCAAGGTCGAAGACTGAGGGGCTGAAAACCCTAGGCCCCAAAGAGGTTAACCTTTTTATGTATGGTAGGGCTCTATATCCCCTGCTTGGTAGCCCAGTAGCCATATTATAAGAAGGGCACCCTTTTTTGGGTTGGTTACTTTATAAGGGAACCTTGAACCAAAAAAGGGGAAAAGGGTACAGCGGGAGTATTGCCTAAGAATTCCTTGCTTAAGAATTTGAGGGGCTGAATTTTCTTATGCATTGGATTGTTTCCGCCCCTTACTGGGTGTCTTTGACTTAAGAATTTGAGCCCCCCCTGAAATCTGAGGGCACATTCTGAATCCAGTTGTTTTTTTGCTTGTCATTGGGACTTTCCACTCACGACAACTCGAAAATCTTAGGTTGTAAAACTTTTAAACACAAGGAATTAAGAATCTGAGCCCCTCAGGTTCTTAGCTTGTAAGCTTTGGCACTCACACAAATCACAGACCTCCAGTTAAGAACCGAGCCCCTCAGATGCCGAACGAAAAGCCCGAATTAAGAATCTGAGCCCCTCAGATTCTTAGCTTGTAAAGCTTTTACACAAGCAGCTGCCAAAGGAAAAGCCCCGAATTAAGAATCTGAGCCCCTCAGATTCTTAGCTTGCAAAGCTTTTACACAAGCAGGCGCCAAAAGAAAACCCCGAATTAAGAATCTGAGCCCCTCAGATTCTTAGCTTGTAATCTTTTGCACAAGCAGGCCCAAATCACAGAAACCCCCAACTAAGAACTTGAGCCCCTCAGAATCTTAGCTTGTGAAGCTTTGGCCCCAAAAAAAACAGAAAAAAGCTCAAGCAATAGGCCCCTGCCTGTTCGCGCGCTCCCTTCTTGTAGCAGTTTCGGGGTTGAGGGTTCAGGCGTTTCAGGACTGCATTACCTGAAAGGGATTGAGTTCAGACCTCAAAAACCTCCAAATTAAGAATCTGAGGGGCTCAGATTCTTAGCTGGCTAAGCATCTCAGCCCCTCAGATTCTTAGCTTGCGAAAGCTGTGCACAACCTCAAAAACTTCCAAATTAAGAGTCTGAGCCCCTCAGATTCTGAGCTTGCACAGGCTGTACACAAGCGGTCGACCTCAGAAACCTCCAAGTTAAGAATCTGAGCCCCTACAGCAGAGTTATGTGTGAAAGAATGCTTTGGGCTAGTGGCTACAGCGTCTTCCTTAAGTCGTAAGGATGCTGGCTCGAATCCCAGCCGGAAGAGCATCAAAATGCACACTGAACAAGTCGTTCTCTAGTTAAGAATCTGAGCCCCCCCTGACCAGACCCTTGCACATTCTTAACCAACGCTCGCACTGTACCACTGGGCTGCCAAGCCTCAGAAACCCTAAGCCCCATCCTAAACCCTGAAAGGCTGGAGCCCGGAAGCCCTAAGCGCGAAGCCTCAAGACACAATGTCCCAAACGCCTTACTTAGCTAGGGTGCATCCCATGCTCGCCAAGGAAACCAGCTTCTAGAATAGGGGTTTAGGGTTGAGGGTTCAGTGTTTAGGGTTTAAGCTAAACCAATAAATAAGTCGCAATAACCCTCAACCACTGAAACCCTTGAACATTTGAAGCCCCTTGACCCCTAAGGCCCTAAACCACACCCCAGGAGGTTTAGGGTTTAGGGTTGGGTTTAGATCTCCATGGTAAGTCAGTCAAAAAAGTCCAAGACTGCAACGAACATGTGCCCCGGTTCTACCGCGCATGCGCGTTGCTGGGATGGCCGCGCAGTTTCTTTAGGGTTTAGGGCTTAGGATTTCGGCGACCTTCAAATTTCTTGGGGGCTGAATACCCTAGCCCAAAAAAGGCTAACCTTTTAGATATAGTAGGATTCTATATAACCAAAACCTACCGTCTCTAGGGTTTCGTTTAGGGGTTTGGGGTTTGCTGAGACCAGACATGGTGAGCCAAGCGGCAACCAAAGGGGCAATGATCGCCAGTCCTGGCGCAGCGGCTGCACTAATTGGACTTGTGGTTGCTTCGGCAACTGGTAAGCATCTCGGAACGAAAAACCCTAAACCCTAAACCCTAAACCCTAGACCCTAGACCCTAGACCCTAAACCCTTACCCTAAACCCTAAACCCTTAACCCTAACAGCACAAACAGCAGACAACTGCAGAACCAAAACACCGCTCGGAAGACACGCAAGTAGCTGGACCATGCCCCCAGCACCGCGTCAAAAAGAGGCCCGTTACATGATTCATCCAAGCTGTTTCTGCCCTCGCTCAGCAGGTTGAGAGTGTAGATACCTCGAAACGGCCTGAAATGACAGAGGTCCCGGAACACTCCACTTCTCATGCCTGTGTGCGTGGCCACCCTGGAAGCACAAAAGGAAGAATCAACATCTACTTGGGAAGGATGCGGGTGCTGAGCCCGAAGCCCAAACCCCAAACCCTGGCAACCGATCAAACCACGGTGTCAAGGCACCCTGGGAGGGTCCCAAAGAGCCCAATGCCCCCTTAATTACGGAGTATGCCTTAAACCAGATTAAGGATCCCTATATAAACTTAACATTCCCAAAATTAAGGGATATTGGGCTCTTTGGGGTCCCCCAACCTTGTAGTCGCAGCGGCCATAGTTGCACTGGTCGTAATCCCAGAGGAAGCGCTCGCGACCTCGATGTCGCGGGTTGGCTTCCAAGTTCTCGCCCTCCGGACTACGGACTATTCTCGGAACTTCATCTTAGGATGTAAGACCTACTGGTTCCGAGTAGGATATGAAGGAGTCAGGTACTTAAAGCACATACATATATAAATATATAAGGGGATATAGGGTGCCAAATTCCGTCACTCCCGACTACGAGCCAGTAAGAAGATTTTCGATTGAAGGACTCGGGGCGGCCAAGACAAGTTTACCTGCGTCTTCCCCATCGTCGGAGACCCGGAAGTCAATGACAACTCGTGACATCGATCTGTCCGACGAAGGGTTGGAAGTTGGGGTACTTTAGGGGCCTTAATTGGGAGAATAGGGTTTGGGGGATTGTTATGGTATAATTATAAAGAGGCCATGAGGGAATACTATTCGTAATTACTACCCCTCGAGAACCTCTAGTAGGTTGCTTTAGTGACTGCTGCTTGGCACCTGCTTGACTTCTGTCTTCGCGGCGGTGTCTGTCGGTATCTTTGGGTAGGTACGAGGGATCCCTACCACAAACTGAAAGGCCCTGGCTGAAGCTCTTTTGAGTTTGTCAATGCCGCTTCCCCCGGTTAGACTGAGCCTTTTGCAGGATGTATGAGCTCGGCATGGGAGATGGCTGACTCCAAGCTCGTTTTGGGTCCCATCATGCAAGCACACCAATCCCCGAACTCGGGCGGGGGGGGGGGGGGGGCACCTTTTTCTCCCGCGGTGCTGACATGGCTTTCAGGCGGAAGGCAGGCGACAAAGCAGTTGCGACTCTTCCCGCACGTCATGTTGGGCAACTGCTGTCTGTTCGGACGTTGGGGGAATCCGAGAAGGAGTCGGCATCGGAGGGCACGCGGCAGTACAGATCCGCCTATCTACTCCTCAACAAATTCGAACTCCTTCGTCTGCACGTTGTACTCACCGCCGCAGTCACCACACCTGGGTCCCTTGGTAACTCCGCCCACGCACCTCGGGCTAAACATGACAACCACGAGGTCGCCCTCCACGCGTACGTCGTAGATCTTCTCAATATACAGCTCCGTATACTTCGATTCCTTGGTAGCCCCGCAACCATATTATGATAAGGGCACCCTTTTTTGGGGTTGGTTCCTTCCCAGATCTTCCAGAACCCCTTAATTAAGGAATATACCTTATGATTCAAAATAAGGATCCTTAGTATAAATTAGGGTATATTCCTTAACTAAGGGTTCTGGAAGATCTGGGTTTATAGGGAATCTTGAACCAAAAACAGGGGCAAGGGCACCGCTGGGCTACCAAGATTCGGGCTTTAGGGAGTCCAGGTCGCCTGTCTCGTACGTTGCCCAGAATGCGTCGATGGTCTGCTGCAGGAAGCCCGCAACATCCGGAATTCCGGCGGAAGCGAGCCTTACTTCTACCAACCCCCAGGATTAAAAAAAAAGAAGTTGAACTTTATTCTTCCTACTAAATAAGGAAACCCAAAAAGTTTGAAGTTCAGCTATTGGCCAAGTAAGGAGCTGCTCCTGAATTTCTCCAGCGACCGAGACGCTGATTGTGTCGGGGTGAGAGCCCACTTTGCAGCAGCCTGCGACGGTGATTTCAAGCGCCATGCTTGCCGCGAGCACGCGATCTGGCAGTTGCTGCAAGCAAGGTCTATACGGCCCAAGGTCTAGGCAACAGGGAACTTCAGGGCTTGTCAGGTGGTTGGACCTGCTACTTCGTGCTGATTTTGCAGTGTGCATCCTGGGGTTGACGAGAACGTAAAGTAAAACCGAGAAGCGCAGCTGCAGGGACTGGAATGTGCTGTTTAGGGGGGAAGACAGTGGCTGGCAAAGATGACAGCCCGAAAGTATATGAGGAGCTTCTCAGGTGCTTGTTCTTGGAACTCACTGGCAGAATCTGTCCAGCACTAGCGGCCCAATATGAGGGCCCGATTCGAGTTGAACGGGTATTTGGGCAGTTCATTATAAGTAACTATAGGGAGTATGCGGGAATGATCCATGACGCAAGGCGCCACGTGGCTAAGTAAGCGCGCAAATGCTCTTGGACCAGCTAGATTACCCCAGCAGGCGAAGAATCCAAGAACAAGCGGTTCCCTTCCTTTGCTCATCCTAGCCAGTATACGTTTCAGTATAGTTGCGGCTTATGAACAAGTCATACAGGGTGCTCGGGTCAGCTTTTTAAGGTTCTAGACAGCGCCCTTCAGCCCCCCAAAACTTGGATGTAGGGCTTAAGGCCACCTTCAGCCCTTCAGCCCCAAGTCAGACCTGACTGCCTGGTCGAAGGGGTCCCCTTTAAGGGCCCAGAGTCAGTGACCATGAACCTACCCTTAGAAGCCCCAAACAGTACCAACTCCTAAGCGCCTTTTTCTACCCAATCTCCTGAGATGAAGAAAACAGGTACTCTTCTTAAGATCTTTCGCTTCTTCATGGGGGATCCTGACCCACAACGGGTACTGCTGGGCACCGCAAAACCCAAAGAGGGGGGGTGGGAAAATGAAAAAGGCCTTAAGCCCTGAACCCTAAACCCCAAACCGATTGGATGAAACGAAAAGGCTGAGTTTCCGCACACTGCTTGCAATTCAAGAAGTTGTCGACCTCGACATCTCTCTCGGGGCTTCGGCTATACTCGGCAGCCCTGTAGCCATGTTACAATACTACTATTTGCTTCAGAAGAACCGAAAAGAAAAGAATGATCCCTGTATTGCCCTTTCAAAGAATAGTAGTTAGTAGTTTTTAGGGGGGTTCTTAAGCAAATGGCGCAATAAGGGTACCCATTCTGGGGGTTGGTTACTTGACGTATGGGGTTCTGGAACCAACAAAAAGGGGCAAAAGAGTACCACTGGGCTACCCAGGTTAGGACCATGTTAATTATGGCGTTGTTCCAGCGCTGCAAGGGCATAATGGGGTTACTATGGGGTTCTTATCTAGAACCTACGAAAAAAAGGGTACCCTTTTTGGTTTTAAGGGGATTATAAGGGAAACTCAACCGCAAAAAAGGAAAAAAGGGCCTACTCCCGGTCCTAGCATAGGGTTGTGCGGTTGTAGGGTCGTAAGGTTCGCGGCTGCGCTGATCTGGTTCTCTGGTTGCGTTCGGGCTTTCTACGGGTGCGACGGCCCACTTTGGGCTGAGGACTGAGGACCCTTTGCCCGTCCTTCTTGAGGATTTCTACGGCAGCTATAAACAGATTGGGTTTGGGGTTTGGGGTTTGGGGTTTGGGGTTTGGGGTTTGGGGTTTGGGGTTTGGGGTTTGGGGTTTGGGGTTTGGGGTTTGGGGTTTGGGGTTTGGGGTTTGGGGTTTGGGGTTTGGGGTTTGGGGTTTGGGGTTTGGGGTTTGGGGTTTGGGGGTTGGTTTTTGGGGTTTAGGGTTTAGGGTTTAGTGCAAGTTTAGGGAGCCTTCGAGACGTGCGGTCTTTTCGGGTAGAACCCCTGGAAACCTTGACTTTTTCCGGCGTCGTTCGAGGAGCTGCCTTACATCTCCCCCTTCTTTACATGGTCAGTTCTCTAAATTGGGGTCCCTTTTTGCCTCATGATTATGGACGCCAGACGGCTAAAAACTGGATGCCCTATTTCCCTACCAACAAGCCGGTAAGTAAGCTTACGTGCTCAGGGCTTGGAATGGGTCTAGGATGACCTAGGACCCTAAACCTAGACGCTGGACCCTAAACCCATGCCACTGCTCCAGCTCCGGGTGTTCCGACAAAAGTCCGCACGAAGGCCTGGCGGGCAAACCCTAAACCCAGCAGATAGGGGCCTGTCAACCTTTATCCCGATGAACCCCTTTTGGCTCAACGACAGGCCCTTGGGGTGGGTTATAAGCCCAAGCCGAAACTGGGTATGTCTTTCAAACATCCCCCGCAACATGTTCTGTGGAACCACAACAGGGGGATGGTTCCAGCAAAGGTTTTTTCAATGCAAGGCTTAGAAGGTTTAACGTTGCATGCATGCAGGGTAGGGTTCAGGGTTTCGGCTTTGGACTCAGGGGTTTAGGGTTTAGGGTTTAGGGTTTAGGGTTTAGGGTGTAGGGTGTAGGGTGTAGGGTTTAGGGGGGCTTGGGCTTCTAGAAAAACCCTAACCCCTAAACCCCTAAACCCCTAAACCCCGAAGCCCCTCTCACCTCCTCCCCTTCTTGCAAGGCCTCCCCTTTCCCCCAGCCCCACCCTCGCGTCCCATTGAATCGATAGGGGGTAGCTTCCAGGACCCTGGCCGGCCCTACCTGATCTTTAGGGGCTGGATGCCCTAGCCCAAAAAAAAAGGGGGTTAACCCTAAACCCTAAGCCCAGAAAGTGGGATTCTTCATATAACCAAAGTCGTTAACGATTACCAACCCAGTCCTAGGGCTACAGCCTCAACTCAGGCCGGACTTCGCTCGCTTGCTTAGCATGCTGGGGGAGCGGAACGCGTAACTTAGAACCAGCCCCCAGTTGCGACCGCGGCTCTACGAAAACTCTTCTTACTCTGAAGCCGCTTGACGGCTGCATTATGAAATGCAGCAACATCCGGCAGCTTTAGGGCAGTCGCACTGCCCTGCGTCGGCTTCTCAAGCTTGGTGCTAGAGCGTGCGCGGCCAAAGCTCGGCGTTCCAGACGTGAGGTTGTGCAAAGAAACGCGTGGCGTTCCAGACCACGCCTTCTCGGCCAGCTTATGACATGGAGGCTCGGAAAACCACGAGCCCAAAGCCCGCAGATTTTCTTCAAGTCGGCCCAAGTCAGCCTGTGAGGTCTCTCTTGCTTATCATTTTTAATGTTTTTGGGGGGGAGTTGATGAGCTCTGACTCTTTGTTTAAGGGGGAGGCGACTCAAACCCTTAAACCGGGCGGTGTAGGCCACCAACTCGAGCCCATTGTAGCCGAGTAACCATTTTACAATGAGGGCGCCCTTTTGGGGGGTTTATAAGGGAACCTTGAACCAACCCCAAACCCCAAACCCCAAACCCTAAACCAAGAAAGGGAAAAGGGTACCACCGGGCCACCAGGAGGCCAGCTCCCCGCCTGAGCCTCACGCACGCCGATCTCCGGCTCCTGGAACCTTAGCGCCTGGGCTCGCAGTTTAGGGTTTAGGGTTTAGGGTTTAGGGTCAGAAGCCCAAACTTGGCAGCCCAGTAACCATGTCATAAGAAGGGCACCCTTTTTGGGGTTGGTCAGTCCATAAGGGAAACCAGAACCCCCAACAAAAAGGGTCAAGGGCACGACTGGGCTGTCAGGTAGAGGGCTTCAGGTTGGGATACCAAAAGCCGTTAAGAGGGATTCGGATAGGGGGTACAACAATTCATCCCGACTTAGGACTGGAAGAAAAGGAGGGAGAACATCCCAAGCTTCAGGCGATTAGGGTTTAGCACGAAACCCTAAACGGTTTCGGGTGAAGGGTTTAGGGTTCACGCTTTGTTAGACGTTGGGGTTTAAGGTGGGTACAGAGCTTCGCGGTAGGAGAGAAGAATGAGGAGTCTAGGTCAACGTGCCCCAGACCCACATAGGGTGTGGAGTTGGGCTTTCGCGCCTACTACATTGAAGCGCGACCTGTCCAAGCTCAGGCTATGACAACTGGGTGCCCGCTCCTACCTATATTATAGGATAGGAGGCTGCTACCCCTCGATCAAACAATTACTACCCCCCCCCCCCCCCCTCCCCCCCCCCCCCCCCTCCCCCCCCCTCCCCCTCCCCCTCCCCCTCCCCCTCCCAGAAGTACCCAAAAAGAGCCCAATATCCCTGAATTGAGGAATATACCCTACACCATATTTCGGATCCCCTAAAAGAAACCCTAAACCCTAAACCCTGAACCCTAAACCCCAAACCCTAAACCCTAAACATTGAACCCTGAACCCTGAACACGAAACCCTAAACCCTAAACCACAAAACCGTATAGTAGCTTGACCTGAAGGCGCCGTTCCACCCTTCATCCTCGACTGGGCTTTCGCACCATGCCACCCTCGCTCCCATGCGAGAGGATGCTTCCATCCTTGGCCCAGCGACTCCTACACCCTAGGGTGTTAGGGTTTAGGGTTTAGGGTTTTGGGTGTTAGGGGTGTTAGGGGTGTTAGGGGTTTTGGGGTTTTGGGGGTGTTAGGGGTGTTAGGGGTGTTAGGGGTGTTATTAGGGGTGTTGGGGGTGTTAGGGGTTTTGGGGTTTTGGGGTTTAGGGGTGTTAGGGGTTTAAGGGTTTAGGGGTTTAGGGGTTTAGGGGTTTACTGTAGGGTTTAGGGTTTAGGGTTTAGGGTTTAGGGCTTAGGGTTTAGGGCTTAAAAAACAAACCCTGGGTGGTGTGTTTAAGGAGTCTGCAAAAAAGTTGCCTTAAGATGGAACCTGAGCTAGTTTTCACAGAACCAATTCGTTTCCATGAGAAGCGGCCTTCTCACCATTTTTTCTACTAGACCCGTGAGTAACCCAGGAATACTCCCGGTCCTAGTCTAGCCTAAAGTAAGTTCCGAAGCTCGACGCAACGTGGCTAGACACGAAGCGCCTCGCAACCGAAGGCGAGGGGGGGTATCCCAGCAAAACCCCCGCAGCCCCAGGAAAAGCAGTAATACAGGGGCGTCAATGATTAGAATAGGGTTTTGGGGTTCATTCTTGTATCATGATAAAAAGGGGACCACGATTAGCAAGTCTTCCGACCCCC